CTGCTAACCAGATGGTCGAGGAGTGCATGTCGCAGTTCCCCAAGATCATCTCTGGTGAGATGAAGCCCAACTACACTAAGTGCATCAAGATCGCCACTGACGCCTCTCTTATGGAGATGATCGCCCCTGGTTGCTTGGTTATCCTCTCCCCTCTCGTTGCTGGTCTCCTCTTCGGTAAGAACTGCACTGCCGGTCTTTTGTGCGGTGCTCTTGTCTCTGGCGTCCAGATGGCCATTTCCATGTCTAACACTGGTGGCGCTTGGGATAATGCCAAGAAGTACATCGAGGCCGGTGGTCTTGGTCCCGAGTGCGGTAAGGGCTCCCAGGCTCATAAGAACGCTGTGACTGGTGATACCGTCGGTGACCCGCTCAAGGATACCTCTGGTCCTGCCATCAACATCGTTATTAAGCTTTCTGCCATCATGTCTCTCGTCTTCGGTGGCGTTATTGCCAAGACTTCGAACGAGAATGGCGGTCCTTTCTGGTTGTAAACCTATTCGTATTCATATAGTACATTTACTTATTCGCTGTTCCTAAGTTGCTCCCTTCTGGTGTGTGTTCGGATAAGCGACCGTACACTTCCCATCACATTCTAGTCGCATGTTGAGTTCGTAGTCGTCGCGGATACTAGTCGATGAGGGGTAAAACTGTAGGATCTCTATCGACAATGTTTCACCAATTGTCGTGAAGGTAGTTGGTCTGAGCGACATTTGATCCTCAAGTTCGAACGAGGTGACGGTCTTAGGTGATATTAGAGTATAGTTTCTGGGCTTCGGATAAAGAGTTAGGTGGTAGCTGGACGGCTCATATACAAAATAGCAAAGGAGCAAATAGCAAAAAAGTGCCAATTAGCTGGAATGTATATTTCCTGCGGCTTTTGCTGTTGTGCCAGTGTGTAAAAACGCTATGACTGATATACAAAGGAGCAAAGTAGCAAAATTAACTTTACAAATACGCAAATTTGCCGTTTTGTATAACAGAAACTGCTCGAATGAATATCGTTTGCTTGTTTATATTTCAGGAATTTGCTACAATATATAAAAGTTGCTGCTATGTGAAGTGCTACTATGTAACAAAATTGAGCAATATTGCTCAAAAAAGGGGCAAACCGATAAATTGCTTCTTCTACTATTGAGCAAATTGCTACTTTTCAGAGGAGCAATTTGCCGCTTTACGAATGGGCAACCCCGCAATGGAGCAAACTTTTGCTGTTTTATAATCGGAAGAAGAAACTGAAATTTCGCACGCGAGATTCGAACCTTGGTGGGTTGTTAGTGATTGTGTTGATCATTGCATTATAGTTTGGTCACTGAGTGGTGACTATTTTGCAAAGTTCTTTGGTTCTGTCGATATAGATAAGTATAGTTGCAGCACTGGGAGAATGATGGATGGACTATTGTAACTTAAGTGATAGTAGGTCGTTCGTGAAGACTGACATTCGTTAAGGGCTCGTTGGATTTTCATATTTTCCACATCATTGCAGTTCGCACGTGGTCACAGAAGGACGAGGGAGAGGATTTGTGTTTACATGGTAGTTCGTATTGGGCGGAATCACTCGTACTGAGTGATCCGAGATCACTTATTTGGATCAACATGGATCACACATCTGCAGTGCAGTGCTGTATTGCAGGCACCCCAGTGGTGCCCATGCGAGATGCCGTGACTTTCATACTCGCATCCTGATCCCTACGAGGCCTATTGCATGCGAACCAATATGCTCTTCGGTAGTCTGAGCAATTTGCTCAGAGCAAATACTGGTCATTGCAGAAAGATGCCCCTCGCGAACATCGAAACTATCGAGGAAAGAGGCAGGCTGGCTTAGCAGTGCTAAGTTAGCACTCCGCATCTACCCGGCGCTGAACAAGTTCTCCCGAGGTACCAGATGTGAGGAGATAGTGCGAAAGTACTCGCCTAACAACAATGCTATTTTATTGGTGGAGGAGTATGAGATCCACGCGGCAAAAGAATTGCAGCAGAAGCGGTCGAAAGAGGGCGAGCGTGAGGAATCGAAGTAGTTTCTCCCATCACTGGAGACTAGCGACCATGCACGCACTCGCAGTAAGGTAGGCACCTCAGTGGTGCTCAGCTGTTGTAGTTGCTACAAGTAGCTGTCTCGGTGATTGGTAGAGAAAGATTTGGACGTTTCTCAATATGGTTCTCTTGTAACCCTTAATAGTATCTCTTTGAAGGCCCTCTAGTGGTGCCCGGGAGTGAATATTGTGTGCGGGGGGCTGTAGAGTTCATATTTAGTAATTCTGTCCGTGTTGAGTTTCCCCTGTACAATCCTTCGACACCTCTGCAAAGTCCATAACAATAGCTCCACGAAGACGCTCCGATGAGTGCCACTGCCCATGAGCAAATGTTTCTCGTGCAGAATGTCAAAGTTGCCCGTAATACTTACGTAATGCCTACTTGAGGGTTTAACTTGTGGGTATTGTTGAGTCGTCAATACGTACAATCGTACCAAACCACGAGACACAACTGATACGATGCAAAAAGAGAGAGGATACTCGAAGATGGGACTCAATTTAACTGTTATCTCATCTAATTCAATCGCGACGTGCAAGAGCAATCATGTGTTTGGTATTCAGCATTGATCATAACTCGCGCTGTCTTCGGAGTGAATGATATATCTCACTAGAGTGCTATCACGCTTTGACCCGATACTAAGTGACTCACTTGAAGTGAGACACGAGGTGTGA